TGAGGGTGAATATATCTGTGATAGTGGCTTCTTTAAACCACCGGACTGTATGCAAGTGGTCTCAAATGGTGTAGAGTCCTTGGGTTTCTTATGAAAAAACACCCAGTTTCCTAAGGTATTGTTCTAACTGGTCATAACGTAACGTGGCTAACATAGATAAATGAGAACAACATGTGAAATAGCAGAGAAGTTGTGGCCCTGAAAGAGATCACCCAATGTCAGGCGTTTGCATCTCACCAGTCATTGCAATGTTGAGGCCACTAGTCCGTTTTGAAACGTCGGATTGTCCGCAAATAGTAAGTAAAGGTCATTGTTCAGGAGTACTACCTTTTAATAACCTTAATTTTTGAAGAATGTGTCCCAATAAAGAGTACTTACTATTTTGCAACCTTCCATTGCTTTTCAAATTCAAGCAATATTTCTGCCCGACACGACATGTAGATGTAGTAGATAGGATCACTTGGAAGAAAATGATGCAGGCAGAATGAGCACTCCATTTCTGAAATCAATGGACAGCAGCCAAAATAGTAACTCACTATATGACCAAAATTAAAAACATGGCTGTCAAAAATATAAAGTGGATAAGGTTAGCAAGTAAATTCTTTAAGAATATCAAAATATATAAATATAAAAAAAAAATATATATATATATATATATATATATATATTATTAAATAAAGATTATATTATAAGAATTATCTTAGTGTTTGCCTCTTCTGAACAGAGACAGCACAAGGACCTATTCCAGAACATGTAGGCCCAGCTTGCCACCACCAGGTTGGTTGTGATGGGTAGTAATTTCAACTTCCTGATAGTGAAGAGTTGTGGCTCCTATAACTTAGTAAAGTTAGATGTTATATCAAAACTGCATAGGGAAATGGTCACTGAGGCATTCATGAGAGTTGCCCTGGGCTTGTTGGGGAACAGCTCTATGAATTACAGCTGAAGAATGCTTTGAATTGGCTTTGAGTACACATTCCAAACAGGACAGCATGTGTGGACCACCACAGGGTATTTTAGCTCAAAGTCACCTTGAGAAAGGGTTTTCCCCTGGCTTGAGTTCTTGGAAGCTTTGCTGATATTTGTTATAGAGACAGGAATTAGTGAAGAATTTGCATAGTGCTTATATGGCCAAGTGATAATAGTTGGTTCTGCACTATTCCTAAATGTCCTAAACGTCAGGCAAGCAAAAGGAGACAATAATTTGGAAAACTGAAATGAAAACTGCAGTCACTTCAGGACCTCCACCTCTGTGGTTGAGATGCGAAAGTCAAGCAGGAAGAAACCAAACAGCACATGAAAAAGAGAAATCCAGACAGATCACCTTACATTCCAAATCAGAAAATCTTTTAAAGGGAGACAAATGCAGGATTTTCTTCTTCAGGATGCTCCAACTGGCCACATACATAGGTTTGTTCCTGCAGTGTAAAACATAGCCATTCTGCAGAACAGAAATATTTACATTGGCAATAATGGCAACTGATAGTGTAGATTTAGTCGCTGTTACTGAGACCTGGTACAATGAGAAAAATGACTGGGACATAGCAATACCAGGGTACTCTTTATATAGGAAAGATAGGAAAGGCAAAAAAGTGGGAGGGGTGGCCTTGTATGTGAAGGATAGCATAAAATCTAGCCTAATAAAAGTTAGTGAGGCAAACATAGAGTCCGTTTGGGCTACGTTAGAATTTGGTAATCACACAGTAACTCGTGTAGGTGTGATTTATAGGCCCCTAGGACAAATTGAAGAGTTAGATAATCTACTAGTTGAGGAAATAGCTAAAATGACAATGAAGGGGGAAGTTATCATCATGGGTGACTTTAATCTTCCTGATGTAAATTGGAAAACAAAATTCTAAAAAGAGAAAAGGAGGTGTGCTAATATTTTCAAAATATTCTGACAGTGCACAAGGAATATATCATAAAATAGCTGCTATAACATCTAAATATCTTTAAAAATAGAACTTGAAAAATAGAGGGTAGATGTAGCGCTATATTTGCGTATATATAATAATGGAGATAAAAAGGCGGTACCTTACAGAGTCTTTTAAATTAAATAAATCTTCCCAGTTATTGTTTCTAAAAAACATAAGAGAAAAACGGAATGGACATAGTGTATACCGTCAGTGGTGTATCCTGGTTTTGTGCTGCCCTACCCAACCCTTCCCCCCCGCCTTCTAAATACACACACACATTCACTGACAGATACGCATACACACACTAACAGACACACACACTCACTAACAGACACACACACTCACTCTAATAGACACACACTCTAACAGACACACACTAACAGACATACACACACTGACACACACACACACACACACTAACAGACACACACACACACTAACAGACACACACAGTCAAACACACACATACACACTAACAGACACAAACTGTCAGACACACACACACACTAACAGACATACACACATATTGACATACACACTAACAGACACACACAGTCAGACACACACTAACAGACACACACTAACTCACTAGCAGACACAACCACACAGTCAGACACACACACACACTAACAAACACACACACACATTAACAGACACACACACACACTCACATTTCTTTTTTTTTAAATTTTATTTAACCCCCCCCTTACCTTTGGGAATGCTGGGGGCGGTGGAGGGGGTTCTCTATCTCCCTGGTGGTCCAGTGGCTGTGGGCGGCGCTGGGCGGGCGGCTGCCGGAAAGGGAGCTCTTCCTCTGAGTTGTCCGCTCAGCTCCCTCGCGCGCCGCAGAGTGAGGCTGGGAGCCGGAAGATGACGTCATATTCCGGCTCCCAGCCTCACTCTGCGGCGCACGAGGGAGCTGAGCAAACAGCTCAGAGGAAGAGCTCCCTCGCCAGCAGCTGCCCACCTGCCCACCCAGCGCTGCCCGCTTGGTATGTCTGTTAGCCGCGAGGCTAACAAGGCATTTGCCCTGGGCATTTGGGGGCGGCAAAAAACAAAAAACAAGGCAAATGCCTTGTTTGCCTCGCGGCTAAAACGCCCCTGTATACCGTATAGTAAAGTATAGTAATAGAATCATAGGGATAAAATCCCACTCACAATTTAGGGAGCTAAAATATAGTAGCTCAATTTCAGCGCTCTTGGGGTTCAGTAAAGGCGACCCTCACCCTTCTTGAATCTCAGTGCTTCTGATGTTCTATTGGAATGAAACAGAACGAATATGGTGCAGTACCGTTGATCTTTAAAAGAGGATAATAAACCAAGATGGGGTACTTACAAACTTAGAGCCATCCAAGTCGGCTCTGATCTGTGCGCTTGTGTGGTTAAGGACCACACACCTTCTTTAGAAAAAATATAGCAGGGATAATGCCAATAGCAAGTAAAAGTTTACAATATTTATTATAACAATAACAATATAAAATATATATATATATATATATATAAAAATAATAAAATAAAATTGGCATATAAAAATCCGAAGATCCAAAGTCTCACAGTCTTATTCCAGGACGCGTTTCGCCTATGCAGGCTTCCTCAGCTGGATATAGTGGTGTAGTCTTCCTTGGTATTCTCCTGCTATATGTACCCCTCTCCCGGGTGAATAATTGGTGTTTGGCTTGTATTTTCACGGGCAATCACTATAGAAACGGTGATGCCCTGCGTTTCAAGCCTCTTCCTCATTCTTCCTTGCGGATTTGAGCTCCGTTGCGTCACTTCCGGTTTCGCCGATACGTCATTTCCGTGCGTTCCACTGTGCGGTCCACGGGTTCTTTCTTCCTCCCAGTCAAATCGGCATTCATATACATGGGCAAAAAGTTACAGTATTGTAATTTACAAACTTCTTTTACAGTTTTTACACAATAAAATTAGATAGTGGATATTTATATAAAACGGAGAATATAGCCATAATAAAAGTAATATGATGAAATCATTTAAATCATTAAGTCAAAGGAACACTAATCATTTTATAAGTATATAAAGACACATGGCAGTAATAAAAAACATCAATATATACATAAATATTTAAATCTTCCTTTTTGTGCATAAGAGAAGGACCATTAAAATAAAAGTTTTATATATGCATCTAAAAAAGTTTTTATAAAAACAATTCTTTTAAATTCAAAAAGAGGGATTCGTAAATACATAAAAAAGTCCAATTTAAAATGACATATAACTTGAAACCAAACAAATCTATAAAAATATAAAAGTGTAGAAAAAGGCTGGAGGGATTAGGAGGATATAAAATTCAAATTCTTTTACAATTACCAATTATTTTAAAAATGATTTTAAAAAATGACATATTTCAAAATCTGCATTGAGTCCGTTTGGAATCAGAGTGTTTAACTTAAAAATCCACTCCATCTCTATTTTACTAATTTTGCTATCAAAATCTCCACCTCTCCAATCTTTGCCTACTTTTTTTATTCCTAAAAATATGGTATCCTTGGTGTCACAGTTATGGGCAATCTTATAGTGTGCTGAGACACTATGTTTCTCAAAACCTTTTACGATATTGTGGCCATGTTCTTCAATTCGGATATGCAAGGGTCTAGTTGTTTTTCCTACATATCTTAAACCGCATGGACATATTATTAAATAAAATAGATTTTTAGAATGACAGCTTAAAAAATCTTTAATTGGATATTCTATTCCTTCCTTATTGGTGAAACTTTTTACCTGACGTTTTTTATTATTAGTTCTCTTGCACGCTAAACATTGGCCAAATCCGAAAAAAACTTTTTCTGTGCTTAAAAAGGTGTTTTTATCTTTTTTTTCCTTTAAAGAGCTTGAAGTGAGGGTATCGCGTAAATTGTTGACCCCTCTATGTATAAATTTAGTTCTTTCTGGTAAAAAAGTTCTAACAATGGGATCTTGTAATAAAACAGGCCAAAATTTAGAGACTACTTTTCTTACTCTGTAATTGTCGGTACTAAAATTACATATGAAAGGAATTTCCATAGATGTATTTTCATTTTTCTCTTTATATTATAAAAGATTTTTTCTGTCTATACTTTTCACTTCTTCTCTCGCTTTCTCTAATTTAAAATCTTCATAACATTTGTCTATAAAGTCTTGCTTGATTTTACTAGACTGGGTTTCGAAGGTAATTAGGTCTGTACAATTGCGTTGAATCCGTAAAAATTGGCCTTTCGGGGCATTTTCAAGCCATGGGGAGAAATGACAACTCTCTCTCCCTATGTAGCTATTAGCCTCGACTGTCTTAAAATGATTTTTAGTTTTAATTTTATTATCTTTGATATGTATTTAAGTACATAAATTCAAAAAAACAACAAAATGAAAGTGTAGGTACACTAAAAACTGAAACGGGGGTGTTAATTAATGAAGACCAGGAAAAGGCAGGAATTTTAAATAACTATTTCTCCTCCGTATATATTAAGGAAGAACCCATGGCAATAGATGTGCAAATGATTGCTACTAAAAACTTGCAGAATAATTGTAATTGGTTAACTCAAGACAAGGTGCTGCAGCAACTAAAGAAAGTTAATATAAACAAAGCTCCAGGGCCTGACGGTATCCATCCACGTGTACTTAAGGAACTAAGTGCAGAAATAAGTGAACCTCTGTTTTTAATCTTTCAAGATTCTTTTCTTTCAGGAAGTGTTCCGGAGGATTGGAGGAAGGCAGATGTGGTTCCTATATTCAAAAAGGGTTCAAAATCCTTGCCTGGAAATTATAGACCTGTGAGCTTAACTTCTGTGGCTGGTAAAATATTTGAAAGGTTATTAAGGGATAATATTCAAGAATTCCTTGAGAAGAACATGGTTATCAGCAAAAATCAGCATGGTTTTATGAAGCACAGGTCATGTCAAACTAACTTGATTGCGTTCTACGAAGAAGTAAGTAGAAGTATAGATCAGGGTGTTGCCGTGGATGTGATCTATTTGGATTTTGCCAAGGCATTTGATACAGTTCCACACAATAGATTAGTGTTCAAACTCAAGGAAATCGGTCTAGATGAAAATGCTTGTTCTTGGGTAGAACATTGGCTTTAAAACAGAGTACAAAGAGTTGTCATTAATGGTAAATTTTCAAGCTGGACAGAGGTGGCAAGTGGTGTCCCTCAGGGGTCTGTTCTGGGACCCCTTCTATTTAACATGTTTATAAATGATCTTGAAGACCGCATTGAAAGTCATGTTTCAGTGTTTGCAGATGACACCAAACTTTGTAAAACAATACAATGTGAGCAAGATATTACTTTGCTGCAGAGGGATTTAGATAGACTGGGGGACTGGGCACTCAAATGGCAGATGAAATTTAATGTTGAAAATGCAAAGTTATGCACTTCGGCGTAAAGAATACACAAGCAACGTATACCCTTAATGGAAGCGAATTAGGGATAACAACACATGAAAAGGACTTGGGAATTGTTATAGACAACAAACTATGCAACAATGTGCAATGTCAATCAGCAGTGGCCAAGGCCAGTAAGGTATTGTCATGCATTGAAAAGGGCATTCATTCTCGGGACAAGAATATCATTTTGCCTCTTTATAAATCACTGGTAAGACCCCATATTGAATATGCTGTGCAATTTTGGGCACCTGTTCTAAAGAAGGATATTATGGCACTAGAAAAAGTGCAGAGGCGGGCTACAAAATTAATAAAAGGAATGGAACATATCGGCTATGAAGAAAGGTTAACAAATTTAAACCTATTTAGTTTAGAAAAACGTCGCCTGAGAGGGGATATGATAACATTATACAAATATATTCGGGGCCAATACAAACCATTGTGTGGAAATCTATTCACAAACCGGACTTTACATAGGACACGAGGCCATGCGTTTAGACTGGAAGAAAGAAGATTTCGCCTAAGGCAAAGGAAAGGTTTTTTTACTGTAAGAACAATCAGGATGTGGAATTCTCTGCCTGAGGAAGTGGTTTTATCAGAGTCCATACAGATGTTCAAACGGCTACTAGATGCATACTTGCAAGAACAGAATATTCAAGGATATAATCTTTCAATGTAGGGTAATAACTGCTTGATCCAAGGATAAATCTGACTGCCATTCTGGGGTCAAGAAGGAATTTTTTTCCTAGCTTGTTGCAAAATTGTGCTTCAAACTGGTGTTTTTTTGCCTTCTTTTGGATCAACAGCAAAAAACAAATGTGAGGTAGGCTGAACTTGATGGACGCAAGTCTCTTTTCAGCTATGTAACTATAACTATAACTATATGTGTAGGTCTAGAAAAACCACTTCAGTCTTGCTCCAATTACTGGTAAGTTTTATACCCCAGGTGTTTTCATTAAGATAGTTTAAAAATGTAACAAGATCCTCCTCTTTTCCATTCCATACAAAGAAAATATTGTCGATATAACGGCCATATGTTACTAGGCTTTTCCCCCAGCCATGCGCACCATAGATAAAAATGCTTTCCCAGTGTGCCATGAATAGGTTTGCATAGCTGGGGGCAAACTTCGTCCCCATAGCCGTCCCATTTACTTGCAAATAAAATTCCTCACCATACCAAAAGTAGTTGTTAGTTAGAATTAATTCTATTCCCTCCAAGATATATTTAGTTTTTATATTTGTAAACTCTGAAGAATTATTTAGAAAATATTCCACTGCATTACATGCGTATTGATGTGGGATGTTACTGTAAAGAGCTGTAACATCGCTTGTAACTAAAAAACAATTAGTATCCCAATTACATCCCTCTAATGCATTTAAAACCATAATTGTATCTTTAATATATGAAGTGGTTTGTTTGACTAAGGGTTGCAGTTGTATATCCACGTAATGGGTTAATCTATTTGATACAGAGTCTATTCCTGCCACTATCGGTCGTCCTGGGGGATTCTTGGTGTCCTTATGGATTTTGGGGAGGAAATAGAAAACTGGGATTTTAGGATGTTTTATATTTAAATACTTATACTCCTTCTCATTCAGAATTTCTAATTCTAAACCCTTTTTAAAAAATTCTTGAAATGTTTGATTAATATCCTTACTGGGATTATATTCCATTTTTTTATAAGTGGATTCATCTTTTAAAATTCTTTCTGCTTCTTTGCAATATAATTCTTTTGACATCAAAACAATCCCCCCACCCTTATTATTTTATGACTAAATCGCCAAATGTTTTTAGTGCATTCCTTTCTTGTCTGGTTAGATTATGGTTAAAATTTTATTTTTTCTCAATTTTACTGATCTCTGTCATAACCATGGTTTCAAAGGTCACCATTTTTTCTGAAACCATGTGTTTTGGATAAAACTGGGATTTTTCTTTCAAATTTGTATACTTAGACTCCTCCTCTTTATTTAATTGTGATTCTATAGGGTTTTTGGCAAATAATTTTTTTAAGCATACATTTCTTTTAAACTTATTCAAATCTACATAAAAATCAAATTGGTTTAAAGGTTTGTAAGGTGCGAATTTTAGTCCCTTTTTCAATACATTTTTATGATGTTCTGTTAAACTTTTTTGACTCAAATTGTAAATTCCTTTAATGGGGCTTAATTCCTCTGTAGTCTTTCCCGTCTTTCTTTTTTTGACATATTTTCCTCCTCTTGTGCCTCTATACTTATGTTTCTTCGTCTGCCGTCACATTCTATGTTTCTGCCAGGAGCACACATATTCTAAACTCCCTACTGGGATTGTCTCTAAAACAAGTTGTTGAGGAGCCAACTCGTAAAGAGGCCATACTAGATTTAGTGTTAACAAATGAAGATTTGGTATCAGATATTACTGTAGGTGAAAGTTTAGAATCCAGTGATCATCAGTCAGTGTGGTTTAATATAAGAACAGTGACTGAGTCACACCACACAAAAATAAAAGTTTTAGACTTTAGAAAAACAGACTTTTCTAAAATTAGAATATGGGTAGAGGAGTCATTATCAGACTGGAGCAATTTAAATGGAGTCCAAGAGAAATGGGATTATTTAAAAGTTGCACTATTGAAGGCAACAGAAAATTGCATTAGGCTTGTCAGTAAAAGCAAAAAATTCAAGAAACCACTGTGGTACTCCACAGATGTGGCCAAAATAGTTAAAAACAAAAAGTTAGCATTTAGGAATTATAAAAAAAACCCAGAGTGAGGAAGACAAAATGATCTATAAGATTAGGCAGAAAGAGGCTAAGCAAGTTATAAGAGCTTCCAAATCACACACAGAAGAGAAAATAGCACAGTCAGTAAAAAAGGGGGATAAAACATTTTTTAGATACATAAATGAGAAAAGAAAAGTAAAACAAGGATTAGTTAGATTAAAAACAAAAGAAGGAAGGTATGTAGAAGAGGATAAAGGTCTAGCTGACTGCCTCAATGAATATTTTTGTTCTGTATTTACAGATGAAAATGAAGGAAAGGGACCTCAGTTGAGAAAAAGGATAAATGAGTTATTTATTACACGTGAGTTTACAGAGGAAGAGGTTCTATTTCAACTGTCAAAAGTAAAGACAAATAAGTCAATGGGACCTGATGGAATACACCCAAAGCTATTAAAAGAGCTTAGTGGTGTACTAGCAAAACCATTTACAGATTTATTTAACCAATCATTATTAACAGGAGTAGTCCCAGAAGATTGGAAGTTAGCGAATGTTGTGCCCATTTACAAGAAAGGTAATAGGGAGGAGTCGGGCAACTATAGGCCAGTAAGCCTTACTTCAGTAGTGGGGAAAGTGATGGAAACCATGTTAAAGGATAGGATTGATGAACATCTAAAACACATGGATTTCAAGATCAGAGACAACATGGGTTTACTTCAGGGAGATCATGCCAAACTAATCTTATTGATTTTTTGATTGGGTAACTAAAATTATAGATCAGGGTGGTGCAGTAGACATTGCTTACCTAGATTTCAGTAAGGCTTTTGACACTGTTGCACATAGAAGGCTTATCAATAAACTGCAATCTTTAAGTTTGGATTCCAATATTGTTGAATGGGTAAGGCAGTGGCTGAGTGACAGGCAACAGAGGGTTGTAGTTAATGGAATATATTCGAAGCTTGGACTTGTCACCAGTGGGGTACCTCAGGGATCTGTACTTGGACCCATTCTCTTTAATATTTTTATTAGTGATATTGCAGAAGGTCTTGATGGTAAGGTATGTCTTTTTGCTGATGATACTAAGATATGTAACAGGGTTGATGTTCCAGGAGGGATAAGCCAAATGGCAAATGATTTAGGTAAACTAGAAAAATGGTCAGAATTGTGGCAACTGACATTTAATGTGGATAAGTGCAAGATAATGCATCTTGGACGTAAAAACCCAAGGGCAGAGTACAGAATATTTGATAGAGTCCTAACCTCAACATATGAGGAAAGGGATTTAGGGGTGATTATTTCTGATGACTTAAAGGTAGGCAGACAATGTAATAGAGCAGCAGGAAATGCTAGCAGAATGCTTGGTTGTATAGGGAGAGGTATTAGCAGTAGAAAGAGGGAAGTGCTCATGCCATTGTACAGAACACTGGTGAGACCTCACTTGGAGTATTGTACACAGTACTGGAGACCGTATCTTCAGAAGGATATTGATACCTTAGAGAGGGTTCAGAGAAGGGCTACTAAACTGGTTCATGGATTGCGGGATAAAACTTACCAGGAAAGGTTAAAGGATCTTAACATGTATAGCTTGGAGGAAAGACGAGACAGGGGGGATATGATAGAAACATTTAAATATATAAAGGGAATCAACACAGTAAAGGAGGAGACTATATTTAAAAGAAGAAAAACTACCACAACAAGAGGACATAGTCTTAAATTAGAGGTACAAAGGTTTAAAAATAATATCAGGAAGTATTACTTTACTGAGAGGGTAGTGGATGCATGGAATAGCCTTCCAGCTGAAGTGGTAGATGTTAACACATTAAAGGAGTTTAAGCATGCGTGGGATAGGCATAAGGCTATCCTAACTATAAGATAAAACTAGGGAGTAATGAAAGTATTTAGAAAATTGGGCAGATTAGATGGGCCGAATGGTTCTTATCCGCCGTCACATTCTATGTTTCTATGTTTCTATGAAGGGTTTAAATGCCTTTGGTAGATGTCACTCAGACAGCCACTAGAGGCGCTTCCAACAAAATAGCAGAGTAAAACTCAGCTGCTGCCACTGTGCCACCTGTGCTTTAACATGGTTGCAGTTTTGAAGAAGAAAGATCGTAAGGATGATCTGGTCACTAAAAGACCACAGACACTTTTTTAATTAAAAAAAATCTGTCTTCAGGGTTATTATTATTATGTTATTATTTATATAGCGCCAACAAATTCTGCAGCGCTTTACAGTGGGTGGACGAACAGACATGTAGTCATAACCAGACAAGTTGGACACACAGGAACAGAGGGGTTGAGGGCCCTGCTCAATAAGCTTACATGCTAGAGGGAGTTATAAAAAAAACTCTGCCCAATGTTGAATTTTTATTCTCAGATGCTATGAAGCTAAAATAAAAAATAAAACACAAAAGTTTGCAAAAACAAACAACACAAAATTAATCAATACACAAAAAGGTCCACTGTGATTGATTAAATAAATAAATTAATAAATGTAATTACTGGCCCTGGCACTTGACTGGAGGTGAAGGCAATTACCTGGGTATTGGTGAAAAGCATGTATGAGGGGTCGTGGTTCTCCTTGGCATGTTACCAATCCATGCAAGAAAAAAAACACTTCCCAGGTAGATGACATCTGCTCTTTAAGGCATGTTAGCTGCCTTTGATCAGAAGCTCAATATTTCCACTTCAAAAAAACTGCTTAATATTTTTTTTTTCATTGCAAAAAGACTTAGCTAAGGACATCCTGGCTGAAAAAGGTCAGCTTCATCAGAATGAACATTTCAACTTGTAGTGGTGGCTGCTCTGATTTGTTTTTGCCTCATTGGCCTATGTGGAGGAATGTGCTCTACTAGAGAGGGGATTGAAGTATGGTTTTCTAGATGAATTATTCCCAGGACAATGATGTCAATTCTAAAACTGAGAGAGAGAATCTTTTATGTCAAGAGATGCTTTTTACATAGATTCAAAGTGTTAACTTGACAGGGCATGCAGCACCAGTGGAAGACCCTAAGTAGGAGATGGATCTTTTAGAGGAGGTCCTATCTTCAGTATGAATAAACAATGCCAAAAAAATCCCAGACAGTTTATAGGGGGAAAAATAATGGATTATCTCCTCGAAACATCATGCATCAACAGTATTGAGAATGAGCCATGTAGTTCAGCTCTAGAATATTTAAAGGAACATTACCTGCTAGTCAAGGTCAAATCCCTTGGTACAATTATGCTCACACTGGAAATCCAAAGAAAGACCACTGGCATCTATAGTAATGTTGCTGGAGAAAGGAAATCCTCTTCTCTTGGTTGTAAGTGGTCAATAAACAATTGCCAACCAAGACTGTGGCTAAGGATAGAAAATTAAAGAGTCAACAGTGTCAGAATGGACACACACCTCTGACGAATTTCTGTCAAGACACTCTTAGGAAGCTCATAAAATCTACATATTGAACATGTCATAGTTGAGTTATTTGGCTCTTGAGATAATTGATCAGTGATTCCTAGGCAGAGAGCATTTTAGGGACATGATTTGTGTGAAACTGGTTTAAGCAGAAACAACAAAGATATTGTGGAATATAAAAGTCCCCTATTAATAACTACATGCCACCAACATTACCAAGGAAGGAATGAGGGAAGACAAAGAGAAAATAAACAGAAAAAGAAAAGGAAAAGGGAATATGATATATGTCAAGATCAGTTCTTAATCCTACGCACAATCTTTGACTTACAGTAAGGGCTGATCAAAGTCCTAAATGCATTAACTCAGTTTGTTTCCTGTTCCCCTGAATATATGCTTTTCTGTGTGAAGGCTGAATAAATTTGTACATTTTGTTACTTATTGGGGCACTTTTTGTTTTGAGTTTCTTCCCTTTGATTCCTCTAGATCTTCAGTTTGTTGCTTGATAGCATTTGGACCTCCAATCTGGCTGCTCCCTGAACTATAATTAGTAAGGATTTTATTGTGCTCTTCTGTATTTCAGTTAGTAAGCAAACAACAAATCTGCGTAGATTGATGTCTTTTGGCTACATGGTGACAACATATTGCTTAAGATTACTAACTCACTGTCAAAGAGTGTTTTAAATGGGTATTTCTATATGGAATGGACTCATATTTTAATGCATGGTACAAATTATGTGAGCAATATATAACTACAGTAATAGTATACAATAATATCTTAATTTCTACTAGGACATTAAATAGCATAAAATAGTCACCACTTTATGTTAAGATTAAATCCAAATATAAAAATATTAAATTGTTCTTTAAAAAGTTCCAGCACTCTCACCTCTACGCCAAGGAAGACTCAACTGCAACCACATTACTTACCTAAGATGGCTGCTACACCACAACTTCTGCAGAGTCCTCCTGCATCTCCTGGAGGGCAAGCTGATCTCTCCTCCAGGCTGGACACAATATTTACAGATTTTTGGCGCAAACTGGCTCACCATCTACAGGAACCTGCTCAGGAAATGTACAGGGAAGATTCACACGGGGGTTGCCATGTCAAGCAGACAAAGGCGGCCATGCTGGTGTCACAGCATTACTGCACTAGACCTTCTGGACTTACTTCTGCCTCTAAGTCTTGGAGAAGTGTTGATGCTGAGGAGGCCCTTTCTTTTTCTAGGCCGGGGGTTCATTCAGAAACTTATCCTACCCACTGACCATACACACGAAGGGTCTCTGGAAATCAGGGCCCCTGCGGGCCCAAGGTCCTACCGCACATCGCAGGGGCCATGGTCAAAGGGAAGCGTGGCCTGGGTTTGAGGATAGCTGGGGCCTGGGTTTGAGGATAGCTGACATAGCACTACAGCTCCAGACTCAGTCATACTCTGATGGATTACCCTCTCCTAATGAGTCCTGATGGGGCATGAGGATGCCCGGCATGACATGTCGATGAACATCATCCCTTGGCCTACATCTGGTGTTGGCTGACCCTAAACTGCAGTTATTAATCATTGATAGATTTTAATGTAGTAGAGCGTTGTTGCTTTCGTTGTCTCTCTATCATATATCCAGCAGTATACACACAGTGTATATAGCATGTTATTTAAGTCCTTGCTTGACTCCTTTTTTGTTGCTTTGATTTATCATTTTTACTTTAAGTTGAATGTGGTAATACACTAACTTAGGCTCCAGTGGATTATTCTAGTGCTGTGTTTTAGCATGGGTTAATACATTTATTTCAGTGGATAACTTGACAGGCTAATTAAGCATTTACTCTACCCTCTGACAGATTATCTCAAGCCTATTGTGACCTATCACTAATAATGTCTACCAGTCTGCTGCACTTCTCATGCTTTGAGAAATACTCAGAAATTAGACGTTACCTTTACATACAATATTAGAAAAAGTGCAGCTAATCTGAATCCTATGCCACTGTTCTTTCGAACAAGTTTAACTATACGTGTGTTTTAATTTTGCATTAGCTTGCACCCTCTCAAGTCTTATGTTTAGACTTGTAGTTGAGCCTGTTTATTGAAATTAAAAAAGTGAAATTCTCTCACATGCCATGACACTGCACCTAAACGTATGTTTACAATATGCTTGTTAATGTCGTTGTGGCATCACATGCCTGTATGTTACTCCTTGCACTATGAAAATAAAAAATTAAACAAAAGGAAAAAGTTCAAGCACTTCAGAGATTAAACATCTAGTAGCCTTCTCAAACACTCCAGAACTGGGAAGGTTAAAGGGACACTATAGTCACCAGAACAACTACAGCTTAGTTGTTCTGGTGAGTATAATAGCTCCCTTCAGGCATTTTCATGTAAACACTGCCTTTTCAGAGAAAAGGCAATGTTTATATTGCCCCTAGGGACACCTCCAAGTGGCCACTCCTTAGATGGCCACTGGAGGGGCTTCCTGGCTCAGGTCTGCACAGTAAGCAGCCCTGACATTCAGTGTCCCCACGCTCTGCATGGAGACACGGAATTTTCCTCATAGAGATGCATTGATTCAATGCATCTCTATGAGAAGGTCCTGATTGGCCAAAACGGCATTTGGCCCTGCCCCCGTGCCGATTTTAGCCAATTCAATGCTTTCCTTTGGGAAAAGTGTCACAAAGTGGGCAGAGCCAGCACAGGCGAACCTGCGCGGCGCTGGAAATAAGGTGAGTTTTATACTTGGATTGGGGGCTAAGGGGGGGCAAGCCACCTTTATGGTGGATTTAGCACTATACATGCTCCTGACCCTATAGTGATCCTTTAAATGCCAAAAAGCCAATTTCTTTGAAAATAAAGAGCTTCCAGTTGCATAGTATGAAGCCTCCACCAAGCACCACTATAGGAAATACTCTCTTCTTGTCAGGGGGCACACAATACTGCCTCTAATATAGATCATATCATTCTTATGTAGCCTCTGTAATCTTTAATATATAGATAGAATACTCCAACCATTTGTTATCTAGACTCTTTGTCACTCTTTGTTATAAAGAAATGAAGTCAGGCGTGCAGGGAAATATTGGAAAGAGATGGATAATTAGCTGAGGAGCAAATAGGTTTTCTCAGTAAAGGTATAGTACTAATTTCGCGAAAAATGTTTTTATGTTTAAGGATTAGTATTTTACCCAAAAGTTTGTTACGGCTTTGGGGACGAGGTTTGCACCGAGCTATGTCAACTTGTTCATATCCATATAGGAAGATAACCATGTATGGGCAGGATATGGCAGGTCGTCAAAACTCACTACATTTAGGAGATTAATAGAGTGTTTTTCATATGGAATTGGAAAGGATCGAAGGAAGAATTGAAGGGATTACTTAATCAAAATACACAGGGAATAACCCTCAAAGCCACAAATAATACAGAGAAAATAAATTGAGCTTCTAGACTTGGATATTTTTATGGATAATAGAGAATATCATCTTTAAAAAGGTGGATGTTAACTACATTTTAAATCTGTTGCTGTCAAACATTCCAAAAAAATATGATCATGCAACTATGCAGAAATAGTACAGAAATGTCTGATTAACAGAACAGGCCTACTTTCTGAAAAGGAGATTCCTAGAGGAGTACGACACCACCAACTTAGAACAAGCTATGAGGGAAGTGGTGAAAATCGAGGGTAAATGCCACGCAGTGTGTGTGAGTGAGGGTGCTGTCGGTGTCAGGGGTGCAGGGTGTATGTGTGAGTGAGGGTGCTATGAGTGTCAGGGGTGCAGTGTGTGTGTGAGTGAGGGTGCTGTGAGTGTCAGGGGTGCAGTGAGCATTTGTGTGTATGAGGGTATTGTGAGTGTCAGGGGTTCAGGGTATGTGAGTGTGAGTGAGGTGCTGTGAGTGTCAGGGGTGTAGTGTTTGTGTGAGTGAGGGTGCTGTGAGTGTCAACATGCAGTGTGTGTGTGTGAGTGATTAAATCCCCCCTCCCTTCTTACCTTTAGCCTAGGAAGGGGGATCGTGCTACTGCCATCCCTGGTGGTGCTAGTGGTGAGTGAACGCTAGCCTGTGGGCAGCGCTCCGGATCTCGCGAGAAGAACCCTGCGGAGCTGCAAGATAGAGCTTCTTCGGGTTCCTCTCCTGTCTCCCTCCCTCTCTCCCCTGCCGGCGGCCGCAATAAACTACATGTGGGCCAATGAGGGAGATCTTTGATCTCCCCACCGGCCTGTCATGGAATGCAGCAGGGCCGGCGCTCGGATAGTGCAGCCCTGCATAGACCGGCAGGGGAGATCCTGTGATCTCCCCTGCCGGCCTCAGCTCATGGCCACTGTGGCCCACCACGCATTTGCCCAGTGTGTCTGATGGCCAGTCCGGGCCTGTTTCTTTGCATGTTCCACTTTTTATATATTTTAATTATTTTTATGTTTACATCATTCTAATAAAGGGTATTTTATTACCACTTTTTTTCTTTTGTGCTTTTTAGGCCATATCTACTTAACTGTGTGTGACTGCCTGTATATGTTTGTGTGGCTGTCTGCGTGTGTGTGTGTGTGACTGCCTGCCTCTGTGTGTGTGGATGTCTTCCTGTGTATGGCTGTCTGCCTCTGTGTGTGTGTGTGTGTGTGTGTGTGTCTGTCTGTCTACCTGTGTGTGTGTGTATGTGTGTGGCTGTCTGTGTGTGTGTGAGTGCCTGCCTGTGTGTGTGGCTATCTGCCTGTGTGTGTGTGTGTGTATGTGTGTGTGGCTGACTGCCTGTGTGTGTGTGTGTGTGTGTGTGTGTGGCTGTCTGCCCGTGTGTGTGTGCGTGTGTGGCTGTCTGCCTGTGTGTGTGTGCATGACTGTCTGCATGTAAGTATGTGTGTAAGACTGTATGTGTGGCTGTGTGTGTGGGGCTGTCTGCCTGTGTGTGTGTATGTGTGTGTGGCTGTCTGCCTATAATTGTGTGTGAGTGTGTTTATCTGCTTGTAACTATGTGTGTGTGTGTGTGTTACTGCCTGTACCTGTGTGTTTCTGCCTGATCCTGTGTGTGTAACTATCTGCCTGCGACTATGTGCATGTGGTGGATTTGACAGTGTATATGTATAACTGTGTGCATCTGACTGTGGGACTGTGTGAGCATAACTCTGCAAAAATATACTCCGGCATTCGCACATAGGACTAAATGCATATTTTAATCTGAATTAAATACCCATCACACACAGCCAATAAACCCAGCACAAATATCACATACAACCAATAAACGCATATCAAACACAGTTAATGCACCCATTACAAATATCACACACAGCCAACACATAGCCTACATATCACACACAGTCATCACACCTATCACATACACAGACAACACAAATATTACATCATATTATAGAGAGATGTATTACAGTGGAGCTCTGGTATATAAAATAAAATGCACATTACTCTGTGTTTTATAGTTAGAGAGCTCCCTAATACACTAATAGACACATTACTTAGAGTTGTATTGTTGTGCACAGCGGCGTACATACTGCGGACCCCTGAGATTGGGCACCCGCCATCATCTTTTGCGGCCCTGGCCCACGTGGCAAACCGGGCCCGGTGGGAACTCTGACTCCTATCAAGTTGAGCCACCACTGGACCCCAGGGTAAGTCACCCTCTTGCACCTAAAAGGTAGGAAACAGGAGGGTGACTTAAACATTGTGTGTGTGTTTGTTTGTATGTCTGTCTTTGTATGTATATGTGCCTGTCTGTTTGTATGTATGTGTCATTGTATGTATGTGTGTCTTGTGTGTGTGTGTGTGTGTGTCTTTCTGTGTGTCTGTATGTATGTGTGCCTGTCTGTATATGTGTGTATTTGTATGTGTGCTTGTCTGTGTCTGTCTGTATGTATGTGTGCCTGTCTGTTTGTATGTATGTGTCATTGTATGTGTGTGTGTGTGTGTGTGTGTCTGTATGTATGTGTGTATATATGTATGTGTGCCAGTCTGTTTGTATGTATGTGTCTTTGTATGTGTGTGCCTGTCTGTGTGTGTGTGTGTCGGTCTGTATGCATGTGTCTGTGTGTGTGTGTCTGTCTGTGTGTATGTGTGCCTGTCTGTTTGCATGTATGTATGTGTGTCATGTGTGTGTGCCTGTCTGTTTGTATGTATGTGTGTGTGCCTGTCTGTGTCTGTGTTGGTCTGTATGTATGTGTCTGTGTGTGTGTTTGTGTGTGTGTGTGTGTGTCTGTCAGTCTGTATGTGGGCCTGTCTGTATGTATGGGTGTCTTGTGTGTGTCTGTATGTATGTGTGTGTCTCTATGTATGTATGTGTGTCTGTATGTATGTGTGTGTCTCTGTCGGGGGGAGGGAGTGGGGGTAAGAGGTGGGGGGGCAGGTCACGGACCAGTTTGGCACCAGGGACCCATGGATTGTGTGTACGCCACTGGTTGTGTAGTGTATGATCTTGTAACAGAGCTCCACATTACTGTGAGTTTTATTGTTGTGGAGCTCTGTGATAAATGGAGAAGTAGCGCATTACTACAAATTTTTATTCCAAAGAGGTCAAGGTAAATAAGTATAATCCAGAGCTCCAAAGAAAAACCACTCACAGTATTATGTGACATACTTCGTCTGCTCCTCTGTAATGTAGGGGAGGCAGTCTGGCACTTCTGGCCTGCAATGCTGTTGGCTGCAGACCATAAGTAGCTGTCTTCCTAGCTCGGGATAATCAGAGCGCTGCCGCAGATTTCCACAGGACAATGCAAGTTCCTGAGCTTACGAGAGAGTTATGCATGGTCTGTACCCAGTGGAGGGGCAGACCAGATTCAGATCAGCATGCCCCTCTCCCAACTAGGTAGCAACAGGAAAGGAGGAATGAACATTTGTTTTTAAATCATTATTAATTTAATAAATCCCATATACAATCACTACACTCCTATATACACAATACAGGCATACCCCGCTTTGCGCACCCTCACTTTGCGTACACTCGCAAGTACGGACATACCAGCGAGTGTACGTTTAAGTCCCTTGCGAGAACGGACATTTCTGCGCCGCACAGACGCAGTATGGCCGAAGAGGCGGAGCAGATGCACGGAGTTCCCGCCAGTCCCACACCCCGGAGTTCGGAGTTGCCAGCGAGATCGGAGTTGTCCGCCAGAGTAGCCATCCGTCCAAAAACCTGAATAAAGGTAAGTATACTCTACAGTACTTTCCGCAGTCATTCTCAACTTGTCACAGCCCATTACAAACGTTCCTAAACTGTCGAATGAAAGATATGTGGAAGAGCAGCCCTAACACATTACAGTATTACTGTACAGTACTGATGGTTCCCTGAGGAACTTAAGATTGATCATTGAAATGAAATGAAAAAAAAACTTGTGGCAAGCTAGGTATTTAGTACCAAGATGAGACACTGTGTAGACCACCTTTTGGTTTAAGGTCTCAATTCAGCCCTTCTAGGGGAGAAAATGCTGTTGTGCTTCTTTACAACCTTTCAGATAGCGTACGTTTATAATTTTTCTTTTAATATTGTGTTTATTTTAGTTATCAATGTATTATTTCTATCAGTTATGCCTGTAAATGACTTTTGCAATGCAGTATATGCATTGGGAAGTAAAAAAAAAAAAGGTATCGCTTAATTTTAAGTACATTTTCGTTTTACATACATGCTCTGGTCCCATTGTGTACTTAAATGTGGGGTATACATGGATGACTGGGGGATCCCTTTTTTCTGTTTTTAGACTTTATGTGGACTTTTGTTTTGCTCTAATATTATGTATATTTAGAGAAATAAGATTGTATATACATACAATCCAGTTAATTTCATTATTTTAGCACTATATTTGTAGCACAGTTTAACATATACTCTGAATAGTTTAACTATTAGTTTTTTTGTTTGTTTTGTTTTTATAAAGTCTACTTCTAATGCCTTGCTTCATTATGGACTCACATTTATAGCCTTAGGTCTTCAATCGCTTCAAACATGACGAGTAACGGGAGATTTGACATTTGACTTTTAATTTTTAATATGGCATCCTTCTAACATTGACCAACTGAGAACGATGCAAGTTAGGTTAAGTCTAGTTTATTTCCTAAACTTTTTTCAGTACCTTCATTAGAATTATAGTTAGTTGAGCCTTTTTCACATCTGTTTTTGCTGTTGATTTAAGAAGACAAAATAAACACTTTTAAGTGCATTACAAATTTGCATGATCTAGAAAAAAATATTTCTTGACCACAAGAGCAATTTAGGCAGAATGATTCCGTCAGAGCCTAATTCCATTTATCCCCGATTCACCCTAATATTGGTATATTATACAGGTGTACCCTGATATCCCTTACCAGACTAATTTCACACCGACCTTGTTCTGAATATATATATTACATACAAGATCATGAGCACTCACTCATTCATTAAACAGCAATTTCAAAAACACGTAATCCATATAAAAATAGTGAGGGTTTGGTTACAGTATATGATCATACATTCCATAAGTCTGCCACAACGTCAATGTACCCCATTCTTAGCTGGTCCAATCATAACAACCTAATGCCTTGTTTTATTAGATTAATCCACTTACTTGGGAAATGCTTCCTCCTGGGACTCTTTGCAGGTCAAGGTTAAATAGAGCCCTGAAATGAGGCACCCGTGACAGGAAGAGGTGCAAAATCAGGCATTTGGCCTAGACTTCCAAATATATATGAAGCAAACTGGCTGCAATCGCCATGTAGTGAATGAGTGAGTGCGCTGGATGTTGTATGTAGTATGAATTGGTTGCAGCAGCACCCTTATAATGTATGCATGTCTCAGGTTAGTGCAGCTTTTTGGTTTTAAATATATATATTAGCTATATTAGTCCAGTAGACTGATGAAAGTTTGGGGATACCATACTGAAACATCGACCCATTGATCTTTTAATCTAAGGTAATAAAAGTTTTATTTTTTACAAGTCCCGAGAGGGCTATCTGTTTGTTTTTTGGATTTGGCCTGATAAGCACCGGGCAAGTACCTGGAATACATGGAGTGCAAGATTATATATATTATCTATTCCCATTCCGCATCACCCCCACCTCCCTCACGTACCTGGGCATTAAATTAACCACCAACATGGGGGACTTCTATGACATAAATTACAAACCCCTGCTTCCGACGGCGCACCAAGACCTACAAAGATGGGATAAACTAGGCGTGTCATGGCTGGGCAGAGTGGCCACAATCAAAATGAATCTGATACCGAGGTTCCTCTACCTATTCCAAACACTGCCAATCCCAATTCAGCGACAGGACTTCAGACACCTGCAATCGGCCATAGACAGATTCGTCTGGAGATCGCGGAAACCTAGAATCCGCAGATCAACGATGTACGTTCCCAAGCTCATGGGGGGACTGGGGCTCCCCAACTTTCAACAATATTATCACGCAGCCCAATTGGCTC